CTGTGGCCATGGAAGTGATTGGAACACCTGATTCTGATTATTTGGATGGTTGAGCGAATACTTTTGGCAATATAGTGTATTTACAGTATAGCAAATGTATTCCACAAAGAAAAACAAAAATGGAATTCCTTTGGCTTTCTAATATCCACACGTTCCAAAACAATGTCATGGTTTTCCCATAATATTTTGAACACCTGGAATCTATTGGGTGCTGATGTTAACACATATGTGAGTCTCAGAGTACCTTTGTTGATATCTAAAACGTGCATTTCTCCACTATTTGAAAAGCCTGAGCCAAAGTTTCAACTTGTTAGTGGCATGCACATTGTAAAAATTTCATACTATTAGCCTTGAGTCATTGCCATTCATGTGCTAAAAAATGATCTTTCCCAAATGTTGGAAATGCATTTTCTAACACTAAGTATTCACCATTACTCAACTTACAGAAATAGCATTCCAGAAATAATTTAAAGTCTGCCTCACTCCAAACTTCTCTGGGTGTCTTACCTTTTAAAAATAAAAAAAACCCTATAAAATTTAAGAAACAGATCATGGAGATCCAGAACAGAAAATTATACATACTTTACCAAGAAGGAGATCAGCACCACTCTACCCCAAGACCTGGGTGACCAACCAACTTTCCAAAGATTTATGAAGATAAATCCAAGTGGATCTCTGGCAGAATGCTATTCCATAGGGAAGGTATAACAACAGAGGATTCATGCTTCCATTCATGGTTCTGATAAAAAAAAAACATTATTTAATTAGGGCAAGGTGGAGCACACATTTTGCCCAATCTTACTGGCCAAAACCAACCAATAATAAATGGTCCTCAAATAACTGGGCCTATTTTTCAAATGAGTTGAGGATGGCACATCTTGCATCATTTCGATCTGACATACTTTTCCTGTTTGATTTCTTTTGAACTATAATCTCTGTGAACCTAAAATTGCCTCCTATTCAAAAAACCAAAAATTATAGCATTCTAGGTGCAATTTCTCTATATTGTGTGTGAACTGTTGCTAAACTGTCATCTCTGTCTTGCTCCTGAAGATAAACACAAACGAAATAATCCCAGACCACTTACACTGGATGAGTATTTGGATGGAGATTTCAATTACAAAACCTTTTCTCCATACTGGGTTTCAGGTATGTGAAATTAATTTGGAATCATGGGATAATATGGAGCAGTGATGGAACATGGAATGCTTTTTTTTTAATCTGCTAAATTTAAGGGCTATGGTTGGGTTTTTTTTAATGGGATTGTTTGGGTTTCAATTGTGGTTTATTACCCTCAGTTGTGCAGAGACAGCACAGGGATAGGGTGCATGGTATCTCAAACAATTGACTAAATTAATACGCCTATTTAAAATGAGCAGAGAATTGGAACACTTGTGATAATCAGCAGTGATATTAAAGAATCACTGAGGATCAAAGATTTGCTTCCAAGGTAAATGTAGATAAAACCATTACAACATTGTGTATCAAACCCAAAAGTCCTTTGTGAGAAACAGTGATAGGAAGATGATAGTGATGTTGATTTTGCTTCTCTAGATAATCACGGTTCTTGCACAAATGTATACAGCTAAGAAACGTGACAAGTGCCCAGAGCTGCTAAATCTGCCATTCCCTGGAGTATTTTATTTGAAACCACAGAGTTTCTAGACTTGGTCAGAACCTAAATAATACTAAATTCCTAATTTGATATTTCATAATCTCTGGGGCTTTTAAAGTGATAAACAACATCATTTGCATGATGTTGTTTTGTTTCGTTTTGGTGCAGGCAAATTGGCTGATATTAAGGAATTATTTTTTTCCTGGCTTATTTTTATTTTAAAACAGTTACATTATAGAAGACAAAAATAGGGGTGATGTGTCAATTTATGTTCTGTTTTATTTTTGTGAATGCATGAAGTTCAATTATCAAATACGAGCTTTGGTTTTAAGCGTTTTGTATGTATTTTGATGGACTTGCAGTTAAGATGAATATTCCATTTTTAGTTTTTAAAAATTCCAATATAAAATGTAAAATGTATACATTGTTTTCCTGCGCATATGCATTTTTGTGTAGAATAGATATATATGTGTGTATGTATATGTACATGTACATGTATATATGTATATATTAAAGAAGAATTACAATGCAAAATGTTGCAGAAGCAATAACAACAACAATAATAACAATAATATACTTGCCCTAGTAAAAAAGTGGGATATGAATCAAATCTTAGAAGTTTAGGTATTAGAGCAAAAATGTAAAATTTACCTTCAATTGTAAATTCAATCAATTTATTCCTCATCTCTACCAAGAACATTTGAGATTTTTTTAAAAAAAACTGTGCATATATTTGATTTTTCTCAGCTTTGATGTCATTTTTGCCTATTCAGAATTACAAGACCAGGCACAATTTTTTAGCCTTTACCTTTCCTCTGGTAGCTCCCTTATTTTCTTGCATGAAAATTCCTTGCCTGTGGTTTTGAAGTATGCAATTAAATGCATGATTGCCTGAGAAATGCAACAAGATACTGTGTTTCCCCGAAAATAAGACAATGTCTTATTTTCTTTTGACCCCCGAAATAAGTGCTTGGCCTTATTTTTGGGGAGGTCTTATTATTTTTGAGGTGCATGAGGTGGTGAGCGT